CAAGGGTCTCGCCTTCAAGGAGGCCTACGGCACCGAGAGCGCCCTGCGCCCGGAGCTGCCCGTCAAGACCCACACCATCACCGTCAAGGAGAACCGCCGCCTCACCCCGGGCAACTACGACCGCAACATCTTCCACATCGAGTTCGACCTCGGCGACTCTGGTCTCACCTACGACATTGGCGAGGCCCTCGGCATCCACGCCGAGAACGACCACGAGGAGGTCAGCGCCTTCATCGAGTGGTACGGCCTCGACCCGGAGGCCCTCGTCCAGGTGCCCGCTCGCGAGGATAACGCCGCCTTCGAGACCCGCACCGTCTACCAGTCCCTCAAGCAGAACATTGACGTCCTCGGCAAGCCCCCCAAGCGCTTCTACGAGGCCCTGTCCGAGTTCGCCGCCGACGAGCGCGAAAAGGCCGTCCTCGCCAGCCTCGGCGGTGCCGATGGCGCCGCCGACTTCAAGAAGCGCTCCGAGGTCGACTTCGCCACCTACGTCGACATCCTCCAGGAGTTCCCCTCGGCCCGCCCGTCCTTCCACGACCTCGTCCGCATCATCGCCCCGCTCAAGCGCCGCGAGTACTCCATCGCCTCCGCCCAGGCCGTGACCCCGACCTCGGTCGCCCTCATGATCGTCGTCGTCGACTGGGTCGACCCCCGCGGCCGCAACCGCTTCGGCCACGCCACCCGCTACCTCTCCGCCCTCCCCGTCGGCGCCGCCGTCGTCGCCTCCGTCAAGCCCTCCGTCATGAAGCTCCCGACCTCCCCCAAGGCGCCCCTCATCATGGCCGGCCTCGGCACCGGCCTGGCGCCCTTCCGCGCCTTCGTCCAGTACCGCGCCCTGCAAAAGGCCCGCGGCGAGGAGATCGGCTCCATCCTGCTGTACCTCGGCTCCCGCCACCAGCGCGAGGAGTACCTGTACGGCGAGGAGTGGGAGGCCTACGTCGACGCCGGCGTCATCACGCACCTCGGCGCCGCCTTCTCGCGCGACCAGCCGCGCAAGATTTACATCCAGGACCGCATGCGCGAGTCCATGCGCGACGTCGTGCAGTCGTACATCCGCGACGAGGGCAGCTTCTACCTGTGCGGCCCCACGTGGCCCGTCCCCGACGTGACGGACGTGCTGATGGAGGCCATCAACGTCGAGGCCAAGATGAGCGGCAAGAAGGTCAATGCCCGCAACGAGATTGAGAAGCTCAAGGAGGATGGCCGCTACGTCCTCGAGGTGTACTAGTTTCTTTGCGTCTTGTGTACTAGACATCTGTTTGGCATTTCTCTTTGTATATAACAGGGCTGCAGTCCTATCGAAAAGTTTCCTTGTTACCAGCCAGCTTTCTGGATTGAGTAATTGAGTCAAATCGAATAAGTACCAAATACTTGCTACACTTCATGCCATGTGCCATTCTTGTTGTGAATGTCAGAATGATCAACACGCTTCATTATCTCAGTCAACTAGTCAACAGCGTAAGATCCTTTCAAAACAACGTTCTCAGCCTTTGGAACCTCGAGACATCATCTTTCAAGTTTTATATCCCCCCTACCCTACCAAAATCATCTACCGCTCAACAAAGCCAGTATAATGAGTACTAACTAGTATATAAAGTAGGCGTCACGATCGAGCAGATGGCGGTTAGAAGCCAAACAGCCATGTGCGTGTTGGCGGGCGGATAGACGGCAGTGGCGGCGGAAGAGAGCTGTGTTACCTTACTGAGATATGGCCGGCTCTTGTCCTATACCGAGTGCTGTTGCTCCAACTCATCGATGACCTGTTCGCTGGTACTACCTTTTCTCCTTTACTCTCTACTTATTCGTTTGGTGATGCACCTGAGGTATCTCGGGAATGGGATGATGAGAAGCAGAGCAATGATGAGACAGCACGGCAACGTATCTGTATATATTGGCCGGTGTACTAAGACACTCCGCCACTGAGTTACTTGCTAATACCTCGTAACAATGAACGCTCACAGACCCGGTCATACTCCGATCAAAGCCTCACGCCCGGGCCTTGATCAAATCAGCAGCCTAGAACATCGTCAGTATACCTCCCCTTCGTTTCACTTCTACACCTCTGCTGATTATCATCATCATCAAGACTCACCTTCTCAGCAACTGCATACACAGTCTGCTGCGTATACGCCCCCGGCAAATCAGGCATCACGCTCGCATCGACAACACTCAACCCCCGGACCCCATACACCTCCAACCCCTCATCAACAACCCCTCCCAACGCCCTCGGCATCATAGCCGCCGTGCCGACAGGGTGAAACGTCGTCGGGCTGATCATCCGCCTCACAGCCTCGCCCAGCGCCTCGTCACTCGTAACATTCGTCCCCGGAACCGTCTCCACGGGCTCGTAGCGCGCCAGCGTCGCGGACTGGAGGAAGTACCGCCGCGTGAAGCGGATGAATTCGATTTGCACGGCGAGATCGGTGGGGTTACTTAGCGCGCGGTAGTCTACGATGGGCTCCGTGAAGAAGGGGTCGCTGGTGTTGAGGGAGATTGTGCCGCGCGAGAGGGGGTGGAGAAGGACGAAGTTGCTCTCTGTGGGGCTGCCGCGGAGGAAGAAGTTGTAGAAGGCGGCGCCGGGGGAGCGGAGGGCTGCTGCGAAGCGGGTTTGTTGGGCTGCGTAGCCTGCTATTACGGTCGGGTCTGTGTTGGGAGGGAGGTGGGCTGAGGGGGATTGGGATTCGTAGGCGGATGTGATGGCTTCGAAGGAGGGGGCTATTACTGGGAAGGGGAGGAAGGTTGCTACATTGCCTGCGCCTATAGTTAGAGGTCCTGGCAGAGGATGAAGAGTGTCAGTAAGGTTTTCCTGATAGGGCCTTTGGGAAGGGGAGGTTGTACCGGTCCTATTGGCTTCGAACTCTGCTTTGGCTTGGTCGATGAAGGTCTGGTTGTTGACGAGGTCGGTCATATCCGGGTGGACGTCAAATTTAGTGACTTGATGAGAAAATATGTCAGCAAAGCCCCAACGTTGTATGTCTCTTCAAGGGAAGATATCGAATCTCACAGGTAAAGGTAGCCCCAGCACCGACAGGGTGGTCCTGGAAATTCTGTCCCACGCCTGGCAAGTCGATGACGACGTCGATACCCGCAGCCTCGAGAAGTGCTCTCCCGCCTACGCCGCTGCGCTGCAGAATCTGGGGCGTGTGAATCGATCCCGTGGCCAGGATGACTTCCTTCCTCGCCTTTACGATCCGCGCGCCCTTGGCGATGGTCGAGTTCGCCTCGACGTAGGAGACACCGGTGGCGGTCCGGGTCTCGGCTTCGCTGTCGCCTTCAAAGAAGACCTTGAGCACCTTGTGCCCGGTAATGGTCTCGTAGTTGTCCCGCGCGGCCTGGATGCCGTCCCAGTGACCTCGCCGAGCCATGGACCGCGTCACGGTGGCCGGGTCGAAGGAGGTTGGGTACCAGAAGACGCCTGGGTCGCCGGCGCCCGAGTCGGCGGGGAAGTCGGCGCCTTTGATTTCTTTGAAGGCTTCTACTTCGGTCTCTGTTGTTGTGGTGTGCTTCTTGTTAGCATGATATCATGCGTTGTATTCAACTGGTGATATGGAAGGGAGTAGTAGATAAGTACTCAGCATAGGCCAGTGAAAGGTCGGAAACGAAGCGTGGATGCCGGAGGAGTTGCCCCAGAAGCTCGCATCGTACTTGATGTCGAATTGCTCGGTCAGCTCGGGGGTAGGCGGGTGGAAGTTCCACGCCTGCGGTCACATCACTTCATCAGTCACAGTCATTTGAGAGAGAGAACAGCAAACAGAACTTCAGACGACCGGACTCTCACCTTTTTGAAGTAAGGCAGCAGGCCATCCCAGCTCCATTCCGATTCATTGCTGAAATAGGACCCCCATCTGTCGTAGTCCTCCTTCTGGCCACGGTGGACCTGCATGGCGTTGACGCCTGTTGAGCCACCGAGCATGACACCGCCTATGACGTTGATCTTGCGGCCATTGAGGCCCTCTTGGGGTACGGAGGAGAAGTTGAAGGTGTGAGACTGGTTGCGCCAGGATAGGAGGCCTGTTGTCACGGTGTTGACCTGAGACGAGTTGTCTTTGCTGCAGCGTTAGCTCACGCTTTGCTCTCTGGGACTATATTTCTTAGAGAAGAGGCCGCAACTCACCGAATAAACCAAGCTCAATCACTAGCACGGTATCTTGCAAAAGTCCCAGAATCAGTATGGGGCAATGCTTTCTCTTCTTCTGAAACGAACTTACGCTCGCCGCTTTCAGTCAATCGATCCGCGACTGTCAGGCCGGAGGTGCCTCCTCCAACGATGACGTAGTCGTACTCTTCCTTGACATCACAAGCTCTAGGGAGGATTCTCGAGTGAGCGATGGATCGGGGGATACTTGATGAGATAACACCTGGGATATTCGTCAACAAGAAGCCCAAGGCGGCCATAAGGACAGGGATCTTTGTCATTTTGGCTGGCCTCTTTTAGTTCAACAGAATCTAGGCATAGAATAATAATTGAGGAAATATTTACGAAGCTGCTATGGATCCAAGATTTTCTCTCTTATATAGCCCCGCTCGAGGAGCCTTCGTCTACATAGGGAGAGGGTCATGCGAGGTGATCTTGGCGTGTTTGCCGCCCATGATAACCACTGCTGCTCTTCACCCCATTGGCAATGCCAATTCGCGTACAAAGAAACTATAAGTGGTATCGTTGTGAGATTCTGCTTTGGGAGAGCGCCCACGTTGCAGCGCATCATGTTCTGCAGCCATCGTAAAGAGCCTTATTCACGCAGCCTTGGCTCTATTGTGTCCGGCTTCAAATCATGCCAAGTTGACAAACCCTCTTCCAACTAAGCTTCACAGTGATTATTCCGAAAGTCTACCAGCTCTTCTCATAGTCTATTACAGAACCCGAAGACAGCCAAACCACGGCCCGGCTTGGATTTCTACATCTCTCCGACGGACTTAATCTTAAGGAAGGAAAAGACACCGGCGAGGGACTCAAGTTGTTGTTTGCCAGCTGCAGCTAGCCTCATCACAGTCGTTACCCCTCATCTTGATACCTCTCTGGTCAATAGCATCTCTCGTCTCGCATAACAAGCCGCATAATCCATGTATGCGGAAGCACGGGAGGGACTGCCCAGGCTGTCGGGTAAAGTCGAGGCGTGCCCGAATAGAACGGTCCAGGCGAGGGACAAATCTCGCATCTTGACAGAGACGGGCTCGGGTCTCAATTCCTCTGGAGCGAGAACACATGCGAGGTTGCGTGCAAAGGCTGCGCCGCTGGTACGCATCGGGTCACGCCATGCATTCTTTTTCGTCTTTCTGGGGCGGGGAAGCTGACCGGAGCGATGCGGGCGCCTGGAGCCCTCCAGGCTGTCTTTCCGTTTCCTTCTTACGTTCCGACTGGTAGAAGCTGTTCTTCCTTGTCTTTCGCCTGGTCCGTTCGTCAAGTCGAAGTTGTGCTTTCAGAAATTGTTGAATATTTGCGTATGCTGATTCGTCTTTTGACCATAAGTAGTGAAGAATTTGGCAAATCCCACGGTCAATTCGCACAGAAGAATGATCCAACTGTATAGATTCGGGACCTACAACATACAGTTCTGAGGTTCACTTTTCCTAGGCTCTCGTCTAAGCTAATATATATACTTGGAGTAGGACCCCAAGTATCACGCCCATTTAACGTTTGCTGCATACGTAAGAAAGAGGGCGTCACGAACATGGCTAGCAACGTCATAATCTCTTCTGTAACTAAATGATACTATCTTAGGGTGCTAGTATTATCGACTCAGTAAGAGGAGGTACGAAGTAATTCACAAGAACTCCATTCCTCCCATCCTCGCGTCTAAGGCAAAGGCACCGAGCACTCGACCGACAGAAAGACAATGAGCTCTGCACATCATAAGAAAAAGATATATAAGATGTTATGCCATGTTCTTAAACAAGTTCGAGAATGAGTTAAACAAGCAATGCTGCCGTATGAAGCTTTGAGAGAGTGAACCTACGATATCTTCCTCGAGGTTTCTTCATGAGCCTTCAGGAGAACCTTTTGCACAGCCAAAAGTAATGAACCTGTAGAATCATATACGAAACGAATGTGAACAAGTCTTTGAATCAACGGTGAATAATATGGTATGTGCTTTCCGCCTCGCTCCTTCCTAACCTCTATGTCCCTCCTTCCTTAACCTGCCTCTGGTACATAAGGAGTCTAATCATCCGTTTCTGTCACCAGCACCCATCCGGCCAATTGGCCGGGTGGTTTATACTCTGACGCAGAGAAACCAACACAAATACTCCAATGAAGCCGTGCTGGTCCGAGGGGCGCGCTGTTCGAGTCCGGACAGGGGCGTGAATTCTAGCGTAAGTGATCACCAGCCCTTTCCTTCCTTTCCTTTTTGACCATTTTCAGTTTTGTAAGTGATTAATTCGAACATTTGGCAATAGAGAAATCAATAGTCCATCCTCTGATATTCTGCAGCTTTCATGCTAGGTGAGATGAACTGGAAAACACACGAAGCCAACAAAAGTTCCAAGTTGTTTGGTCATCTGAAGATTCCATCGAGATGCCTGACCGCTGAAAATGCAATTCCTTCTCGATCCTCATTGTGAACCGCCCTGAAAAATCATGTGTAAGTCAATTTCCAAGACGAAGGGGAGAAATATCAAGAAAAAGAGTGAAGCTAACCTTGAGCTTCTCCCCAGCTTACTGTGATATCGTGGGACACTTCCAAGTTCGAACCCCCCCGATGGCGATATCGACCACACCACTATCAATTTAGCAAATTATCTCGACAGCAAATCGAAAACAATCTAATACGTTTCATCAATATCACTAGATCTAACGTCTGCCTGGACCGAAGTGGAACTGAGTCTAGTCAAGTCGACAACTCCACGGGGCAGTGGCTGTGCACCCACCCAAGCCCCTTTTCCCAAAAGTTGGCCCGCCCCCCTTTTGCCTAGGTAAAGAAAGGACCACCACTTTCGAAAACACATCTTATTAGCGTTGGTATTAATCACTGAAAAACATGGAACTTTTGCTTTTCCTCTGAGGATGGTATGCCCTTGTTCGAGATGGGGGAAAACCGTGTTCCTTTGCGGCGAGGTATATGCAACAGTCTGCCTCGCTCAATGCCCTGAACAACCATACGTTGCAGAATCCACTACTATCTAGGTTGAGTAGTTTTGGGTACGAGATCGGTCCGAGTAGGGGACCGTTCTGAAGTTTTGCGAGATTTCGCTGCGATGGAGTTCGCCTCGATGAAAGCCTCGCGGGGAAATTGGTGACATGATCCCCCCAACCTCTGACACGAGGTCAAACTTAGTCCGGTAGGAACCACTGCTTCGCCGGGCGGGACGTGGAATATGACCATACCTAGCGAGGGGACGTGAGTGTGAATTGTTCATACGAGGCGGGTTTCCAAGCTTTGCGCTGGACCCATCTCACAGACCCCTCCTCGGCAGTTCAAAACACCGTACCAAGTGTTTCTACTCGACCCAGAGGCGGTGTAACTTAGCTTCATGACTAGCAAAACTCCATGAACCATCTCATCATCACGAAAGGGGGCAAACACTGCCACCAAAGTAGCCTAGCCTAGATTACCAAAAGGATGTAATATTGTTACTATCTGATAGAAAATGCATATGGTACCTCGGGAGTCTTGACGCCGTCGGCCTCATGCGACTTGTGGGCTGCTCATCCCGGGGGTATAACGAGCAGGAGAACATATTTACACTAGAGAAGTAGAAAAAACTGTTTCTGCGAGGAGGATTTCATGTACAATATCTCTGGAAAAAATGTACAACGTTTGAAAGTACTGTAAAAGTTCCTGGAGCAGAGGCTGAGCCTCGGTCACCCTGTCTCTGCCCCAAAGCAACATCGCCCTCTTTTACTGCACAGTGAATCCGGCGTCGATGGGGTACGTGGCATACGACCAAGGGACAGCGCGCTGGAGGAGCTGGTAGTCGAAGCCGTCGCCGCCGCCGCTGACGTACAGGAACTTTGTGAAGGCGGACGAGGCGGCGTAGGTGAAGGCAACGTTGGCCGGGACGAAGACGACGTCGCCCTGGATCAGCGTGACGGCGTCGTACCCCTCGACGGCGACCTCAAGGCTGCCCTCCTCGAGCTGGAAGGCCAGGGGCTGGCCGAGGTTCGCCTTGGTGGCGGTCTGGTTGGAGAGCAGGGGGCTCAGGGTGACGGTGCCCATGGTGAAGTTGCTTGCCGTCTGGTTGGCCGTCGCGAAGGGGGCGACGAGGTGGTAGACGCCGCCGTCGGCGTTGAGGTACTTTGGTCCGCGGTTTTTGGCGACGAAGTTGGGGGTGACGGCGTCGGGCGCGAGGGTGTTGGCGGCCGTGTGCCATGTGTTTGCGCCACCAGCGCTGCCGTTGACGAGGTCGCGGCGGGGGTTGAAGTCGAGTTGGGCGTAGACGTCAAAGGCCTCGAGGGCGGAGATGAGGGCCGGGTCGGAGCCGGAGGAGGAGCCGTTGGAGGCGGCGGGGACGAACTCGGAGCCCGTGGGGGAGACAAAGTCCGAGTTTGCGATGGCGATGAAGAGCTCCTCGAAGCCGCCGGGTTGGATGACGCCCGTGAGCTGGGTGTCCGGGTCGGTGATCTGGAAGGTGTGGACCGTGTTGTGGGGCACGGCGCCGTAGTCGCCCGGGGTGAGGACGCGGGCCTGCTCGCCGGAGCTGTTGGTCTTTGCCCAGAGCTGGATTTGGCCCTTTGTGCAGTAGAAGTTCTCGTAGTGGGCCTTGTGGATGTGGGGGAGGACGCCCAGGTCGGACGAGTCCGGGGCGTTGGTCTGCATCAGGGTGAAGGCGCCGGCGGAGGAGTTGCCCGTGACGGAGAAGCGGTAGACCTGCTCGCCGACGGCGACGGCGCGGCCGGAGCCCTTGCGGAGGGCGTAGGGCTGGGACGTCTCGGGGGCCTGGTCGAGGATGAGGCTCTTTCCGGTGCTGTTGGCCTGCTGCTTGAAGGAGTGACCCTGAGGAGCTGCCGCCACGAGGGGGAGGCCGGCTGCGAGCGTTGAGAATCTCATATTGGCGAATTGTTGAACTTGAACTTTTGTTTGCAAGTTTGTTTAACGGCGAGTTCCAAGGTGGCACACAGACAGGATGGACGAACGAGGAAGAAACATAATCACGTCAGGGGAAACATTGGGAACTTATAGCAGCATGAGAGCAGACGAACCAACGTTACGGCCGGGCATGAAGATCCTCGCTCGGTGTCCGAGCCGTTGCCCCCTTAGGAAGACCCCATCGCGGGATTTTCACCCAGTGTAACCCTTGCCGCATGTCATTGCTTGTTCCTGATCTGAACAGGGACACCGAGCTTCCAGGTCAAGCTACATGCTCCGCTTGTCCGCTGACTAACATGTTTCTTGTGGTGTTAACGTGGAAACGGCCTTCTTCTTCGATCTAGAATGGCTCCATCTCGAACCCATTCGGCCCGCTGTTCATCCCATTTGAAGAAACAAGCGCCAGGGATCGCGGGTATCTTGCATGCATGACGCAAACCAGGGCGAAGATGAGCTGAAGATAGCATCGACAAATGGAAGCCCCGAAGGAGAGACCGAATGGAACCGGGCACTATAACGGAGGTGGCATGTGGGTTGGCGTACGTATGTATGCCGATGATTAGAAGGAGGTGTATTCCACTCGCGTATGGGTCTCAGATGGCATTTGACGTACATCTGGGCGGAATTCCCGAAGTTCCCAGTCAATCGGTAGATGCGAAGCCCCTTGTCCACTTTGAATGATTTGACTCCACCCGGGAATTCCGGACTTGAGAGGCTTCACACGTCGTATTATAGGGGAGCAGCGAACGAGTAAGGATACTGAAGTTGCGTAGCTCGGTCAAATTGTGGTGCCGTGAGCCGAAAGTCCGGTTCTCGTATTGCTCAACAGGAGCAGGTCTTTGAACAATGGGAAACAGGAAGTGTTGTCTGTATCCGAGCACCCCGCTGGCGTCAACACGGCCAGGTACACTTCGTTTCACGACCTTCCCGTTGAGGGTGTTGATTCAAGGCGTCTTCGTCACTATTCAACCCAACAATTACAGCTCGGGGCCGTTTTCCAAGATCTTCTTCGATGTATGGCTGCATATTTTGGGACGTTGGGTTACCTGTAACGACACTTCGTCTCAGGCTAGGCCAGGAAACAGGAAACAGAAAAAGGCATCTCACGTACAGATTTCTGCGGTTAGATCCCAAGTGAGATACAGTCATGAGCAATTTTGTGTCGCTCTTGTTCATCAGCAACCACTCGTGAGGTTCAGACGCCGTTTGCGGTTGTGCGT